CTGCAAGCTCGAACTCTTCTCAGCGAGCAGCCGAATGGAATGCAATGTGCCGAAGACATGATAAACGAAATAGTATTTTTGGGCAATAATTTTAAGTATGATTGTTAAATTCAGATATTGTGATTTCCTTAGCATTACATTATTTCATAGTTCCTATAATGAACTATATTAAAAATTTGTAAAGTAAGATGTTTTGCCTACTCTTTGTTTGCAGAGGCCATTATAATTTTATGGCATTTCCGTCACAATAAAGTGCATATATTTTATTATCAGTATTAACAGCCCAATCGATATTGCCATAGCTATATATCAGATACTCCCGTAGTCTTAAACCCATCATCTTTTTGAAAGTCGATTGGATCGAAAGCTCATTTTCGAAGATCTTTATGAAATTTATTTGAGAGTTTTACGAATGTTGGGTGAAAAAAAGGCCATTGGCTGTATTTTGAAATTGGCAAAAAACGATTGCATAAAGTTTTTTTTATTCAATTTCACTACCGCTTCACACAACATTAAAGTATCTGAGTGATATTACTAAACAAAGTGTTTAAACAGTATTTGAATTAAATGCGAGGCCCGGCAATTTAATGGTGCTGCCACCTTATTGTAAAAGTAGCCAGATGGGTACTTTGATTCAATGATTAATTCTTATCGATACTATCGGAATTGTCTTTAAAATATCAGGCGTATAAATGTACTCAGTAAAATGTCTGCATGTGTTTGTAAGTACATGTGCATGTATGTATATCGTAACGATGTGCCTAAGTGTACTACACACACATATCTTATGTACAAATCATATCTACATACATATGTATATTGAAATCTTTCACTTTTAGGTTCATATATAGCATGCTTTATTGATCAAACACAAAAATATAAACATTCGATCACTATGCCAAAACCAGACTTGGTTATGTATGAATGTATATATGCATAAGTACATTTGCATTGTTCCGATTTGTGGTGCTTAAAATCAATCTAAATTTGTTGCCCACTCACCCGCCCACAAAAATACGATAGAGCCGGCTCCGCGGGTTGAAGCTGTCGTCATCACCGCTTGAGTTGAACTTGAATCACACAAATACAAATTTGTCGCACATACACACATGCATACGTTTACATGCATATGTATGTATTTATAAGATTTTCGGATATGGTCAGACGGGAGTATGTATGTATGTATGTACATACATGGTGGGTTTTGTTTCGCTCTATTGGGTTTGTTTTTAGGCGAATAATGTGTAATCATGGCAGCTGTTATAAAGAGTAATTAAAACAACTCGCATTTGTTAGTATATGTTATTCATATTCTTCAGAAATGTAAGATAGTTGATAAACTTCAAGATGGATGCATCTAAGAAAACATTTTGAAGAGTATATTGTGGCTCATAATAGGCGGACACACATACTGTTTGCATGAGTGTATGCGTTTATAACCTCAAAACACATACGGTGTCTGTCTGCTAGCATATGTAGGTACTTCATGTTTGTGTGTATGTATGTATGTACCTAACGGCCATCTGTGCGGCTTTTTGTGCATTTCCTGTTGTTCTTCTCATTTTCTGAAAATTCGATAGCTGCAGCTGTTGGCCTGCTTCTCGAAAATTCGGCATTTACTTGCGCAGGGAGGGTGTAGCTTACTTTTGCCATCGCGTGAGGCAACAACAAGCCGGTTCACCTAGGTTTCAATTTTTTATATTGGCAAAAACAACCCCTTAAAAGATTTACATACATAAGTATATATATGTATGTATGTGTGTACATGCGCACAAGCATACATAAAAGGAGAGGTACAGGCCGGCGACAATTACCGCACAGAAATGAAGTCATCGTCTGACTGTTAGCGATGAGTGCTCCCCTCCCCCTCTCCGAAATAGTTATGCTGCAGCATGACTCATCACTAAATCGATATAAGGCTTGGCCAAGTACTTATGCACTTCAATAGTAGTGAACTTTAAGGGGGGCTGCGCTAAATTTGGGTGCATGCCACGCCCAGGTACAGTCGCAGCGGAAAACGCAGTCGTGTAGAAAGCCAAAGCCATTTTCCACTATTAATAGAGCGTCAGGCTGTCGCTCCGCTTTCCCCAGCCACGTCGGCGATTATCTTCAATTACAAGAGGCCCGTTCAGTGAACTCAAATGGAATACTTGGAAAAGAAGAAAGATGGAAAGAAAATGCGCTCGACTTTTTTTCTGCTGGCAACACTGACTATTCGCTGACTTTTATTTCGTACACAATTTTAGAGCTGATTTTTTTTTAAATTCTTTTTCGATCTGCTGTGTATATATATTTTTTGTCTTTCTGTCAATAAAATACTTTATAGGTTTCCCCATCGTTACTCCAGTGTGTTCTTTTTTTATGAATTTTTTCTTGTTTTATATCTTGTTAACGAAGGCAATGCGTGGGCATTGGTTTCGACGTGTTCAACGCCCACCAATGACGCTTGCCCTGTGCGGGCTGGAAGTGTGGAGCGTGTTTAGTACTCCTCGGCACCCTCGCCCTCACCATCGCCAGAGTCCATGCCGACCTCCTCGTAATCCTTCTCCAGGGCGGCCAAATCCTCACGGGCCTCGGAGAACTCGCCTTCCTCCATACCCTCACCGACGTACCAGTGGACGAAGGCACGCTTGGCGTACATCAAGTCAAACTTGTGATCCAGACGGGCCCAGGCCTCGGCAATGGCCGTGGTGTTTGACAACATGCAGACGGCACGCTGCACCTTGGCCAAATCGCCACCGGGCACAACAGTAGGTGGCTGGTAGTTGATGCCTACCTTGAAGCCAGTTGGACACCAGTCGACAAACTGAATGGTACGCTTGGTCTTGATGGTCGCAATGGCGGCGTTGACATCCTTGGGCACAACATCGCCACGATACAACATGCAGCAGGCCATGTACTTGCCGTGACGGGGATCGCACTTGACCATCTGGTTGGCTGGCTCGAAGCAGGCGTTGGTGATTTCAGCCACCGACAGCTGCTCGTGGTAGGCCTTCTCAGCGGATATGACCGGAGCATAGGTGACCAGTGGGAAGTGGATACGTGGGTAGGGCACCAAGTTGGTCTGGAATTCAGTCAGATCGACATTCAGGGCACCATCGAAACGCAGCGAGGCTGTGATCGAAGACACAATCTGGCCAATCAGACGATTCAGATTGGTGTATGTGGGACGCTCAATGTCCAGGTTACGACGGCAGATATCGTAGATGGCCTCATTGTCGACCATGAAGGCGCAGTCAGAGTGCTCCAGAGTCGTATGCGTGGTCAGAATCGAGTTGTAGGGCTCGACGACAGCAGTGGACACCTGAGGTGCTGGGTAGATGGCGAATTCCAGCTTGGACTTCTTGCCATAGTCCACAGACAGACGCTCCATCAGCAGCGAGGTGAAGCCAGAGCCAGTGCCGCCACCGAAAGAGTGGAAGATCAGGAAGCCCTGCAGACCAGTGCACTGATCAGCCAACTTGCGGATGCGATCCAGCACCAGATCGACAATCTCCTTGCCAATGGTGTAATGACCACGAGCGTAGTTGTTGGCGGCATCTTCCTTGCCAGTGATTAACTGCTCGGGATGGAACAGCTGACGGTATGTGCCGGTGCGCACCTCATCAACCACCGTCGGCTCCAGATCGACGAACACAGCACGAGGCACATGCTTGCCAGCGCCGGTCTCACTGAAGAAGGTGTTGAACGAATCATCGCCACCGCCAACGGTCTTATCGGACGGCATCTGTCCATCGGGCTGGATACCGTGCTCCAGGCAGTACAACTCCCAGCAGGCGTTGCCAATCTGGACACCAGCCTGTCCAACGTGGATAGAGATACATTCGCGCTGCAAACGAAAAGAGCAGAAAATGGCGAAAGTTTAATTGCAGGCCAGAGTTGTGCGAAAAAAAAATCGATAATGACGAAAGCCGCACCCATCACGATGCCAAACTCTCGTATGTATCTATGAGAGCGAGATGGCAAATTTATGTAGAGAAAACGTTCAGCAACGTGGAAAGAAATTAAAGTTCACATAGATTTATCAACGAAAATCAACCGTAAGGCAACAAATTTTGGGTTTATGTTAATTTCGCTACACAACAAACTTTTTCAACTATATTACTTCATGACGTCATCACATTTGCGAGAACGCCATCTTGAAACATGGCTGCACTCGGTGAGTCGCCAATGAAAAAATTTTATTTACAATAAAGGAAAATTGTAAAAAAAAAAAAAAAAAAATTAAATATATATATAACTTACCATATTGAGTTTTTATGTTTTTTTCACACACGACAATGAAAATTCACAGAAATCTGTAGAGCAACTGCTTCAGGTCTATCTCGGAGAGAATCTACGTTCGAATTACCGGCTATGAGGCTTCACAAACGTATAATGAAATTTTTCTCAGCGACTGCTATTTATACTCTCGGAAACGAAAGTTTTTTCATGTGTAAGTGAGTACAAATAGCATTGATGCTTGATATCGAGTTGGCTCATCAGCCGATGTATCGATATTTATTAAAGACAACACTACCTGGCTCGGCGTTGCCACACATATTTATTCATAAGCGAAATTTTAAACGCGCCTTATTTAAATGTGTTTTTTTATTTTGAAGCATTTTTACTATTAAAAGCTAGGTAAATATCCAACACTTTATGGCCTTATGCGAATTCTAATTTTAAAGAAATGCATAAAGAACTAATGGAGATATCTCCTACCACAGACATTCTACAATATTGCCGTCCGTTAATATCAGATTGTTTAAATCAAGTTTGCCTTTAAATTACTTGTAGAATTTTTATAACTTTGATTTTTTTCTTTTCGTAGGCATTACATCTTGTATCTGCTTCGGAAAGCGTCGGTAGTATGAATATTCATAATCTTGTCCCAAACAAGTTTAAACAGAAAGATAAATCTTGTATTTGGATGGCACCAAAAAGCACGATCGCCTTTTGACCAGGTTCTGGGAGTTATACGTCAGATTCAAATAAAAAAAATAATAAAAAATAAACACAAAAACGAAGCTTCAACTATGACGGAAAATGTTTAAAATTATTTATAACCCGTCTCGTGGCTTAACTTTGGAGCAAACATTACACATTTCATACACATCTAATGAATTTATAATCGGTGTGTGACAACCCTGCTGGGAATACATGCTTATGGTACATGTATATGTGATTGCTTGTATGTGTGTGTATATTTTTCTGGTACCATTCATGCGCGTTTTAAAACGTACTGGTCTCGCGTTTGTTTTGCCTTGCAACTTGGATTCATTATAATTAACTTAAAATGAGAGTCGAAGACCCAGATTCATTTTGGCATGATAAAGTGGCGTACAGCAATGCCGAGCAACTGTTCTATGAGGGAGTTGACAAAAGAAAACCAGAACCTAGTGTGAGTTGATTTAAAAAAAAACCTGCGTTTAAGATGGTGAGCAGCGTTATGTCGACAACGCTGGAGTTCTTCAAAGGCCACTAAGGCTTTCAGCTGAATTGTGTGGATTATTCAGTGTGCATTTAAAGTGTAGGCATATACATATGTACATGTAAATATATATGTATTTATGTTCATGTGCACACTAGAACACAGCAAGTTGATCTGGCAGCCCAAACCGGCAAACTTTCTTGTAGGTGGCTACCCTGTACAAATCAGCTGCTTCTCACAAAGCGTCCCCCATTTGTTTAAACTTTTTTTTTTTACACACAATACGGAAATTTATACGAATTTATTATTTTTATTAATTGTGTAAATTGTACAGAAAGCCGTCCATACCGTCCCTGTCACAACCACAAAAAAGACTAAAAAACGAAAGGCCATGGCGGAAAATCAACAGCAACATATAAACTTATTATACGTGAGTTTCTTGCAAATTAGAAGAATGCGAGCAAGAAAAAAATTCTATTATACCAACAGCTAAACCCCCTGACTTTGGAGGCAAGCTATTTCTTGGAAACCCTTGAAGAAGTTAACCGCAAAAGTAATCTACAATTGGATCCATATTTGACGAACTTGTTGGAGCGCATTGTTGTCGGTATTGAGAAGTATCTGGACAAGAAGCCAACCTACATAGTACCCAAGGCTGCCCAACCGGTTCCCAATAACCAGCCAACTGTAACAGGAGCTGGGGGACTTACCTTTGTGCCGCCCAGTGAGTTGCAGAAAATCAAGCGAACATTCAACTGTACTGCTTGCACGCATCGCATTGTGGGCACAACAATTGCCAAGGCGGTGGGACATTTGGCCGAACAACATCCGAATCCCAATCCAAATGGCACCGTCAATGGACAGCGACCGATGCCGACGAAACAGGAGAAAAAGCGTGTTGAGGTGGAAGCACGCTCAAAGATGACCATACAGCTGCCAAAAAGTAAGCAACAAGCGGAAGAGATCTTCAGTGCTAACAGTTTTCCTTGCAGAAGTTAAAGCTCTGGCAACAGGCGACATAACACATATGTTCAAAGATAAGTATCAGGTTGCGGATAAGCTTAAAGTAATGCCGGAGTACGATGATATTGAAAAGGATCTATGCAAGCTACTTACATCCACTTTTACTAATGAACCTGTTCGCATATATAAGTTCGGATCGCGGATAACGGGTATTGGCACGTGCTCATCTGACTTGGATGTATTTGTAGATATTGGTATGTACTAGATAAAACACAACCACTTGCATATTGCATATTGATCGTATTTAAACACTTTACATGCAGGCAATAGCTTTCACACATTCGAGCATCGCGCTTCCAAGGATACTCTTTTCAGGCTTCGGATATTGCGGGAATTGTTCTGTGCAAGCAACGAATGGCGTATTATCAATGTAGGGACTTTTTGCTTTTCTATTGCTTTAAGATTAGTAACTTGTTCTTCCCCTTGTTTAATAGGTCATTGAACAGGCGAGAGTGCCTATAATAAAGACGTGTCATCTGGCCTCTGGCATCGAGTGTGATATATGCCTAAATAGCTTGGGATTTTGTAACACAAACTTGCTTAAATATATATTCGAAACGCAGCCACTAGGTAAGTTACTCATAGGCCTTTATTGATATATATGCATTAAATATCTCGTATCTTCGACCCCTTTTGCAGCCCAGTACATGTGCATCTATTTGAAAACCTGGCTAGAGCGTTGCAAATTAACAGAACAAATATCCACATACAGCATGGCTTTGATGGTCATCTACTTTTTGCAGCTCCAACAACTGCTTCCATCAATTGAACTTATGCAACAGGAGGATTCATTGCCAGCCAAGCAGCTGGTGGGACGTGAGTGCTGCTGTTAACGACAACAATTTGTTGTACTTCCCCTAAATATATATGTATCGCTTGCAGCTTGGATTGCGAATTTCGCACAAAAGTCACTCAGCGATATGGGAGTGCAGCAGATTGAGGTTAGCGTGCCGCTGATTAAGGAGAAAGTGAAAGAACTGTTTGAGTTCTATGCAACGTTTAACTATGAGCGGTACATGGTTTGCCCCTATTTTGGAAGAAAACATGTAGCTATTTCAAAAATTCTAAAAGAGATGCCAAAAAGGTAAATATAAGATAGAATCATGAATGTAGAGGTTGCTTAAGTTGTTGCTTGTCTTTAGGTATACGAAATACGCTTATAACAATCCAGAGTCGGAGCTGCAGATTCAGAAGCCTATGGTCGTTCAAGATCCCATACAGCTGAACCATAACGTGACAAAGGCGGTGACAAAATATGCATTAAAAACATTTGTTGATTTCTGTGCACAAACAGCGGCGCTGCTTGCCACGCCTTCGCCGAATTAGCGCAAGGCAAATTAAATTAAACTACTTGAAAATAAAGGACGCGCGTTCAGTGGAATGAATATTATTTGAAACTCTTCACCACCTTCACCAACTTCCTATCTTAAGTTCAACTAGTTTTATATATAAACATCATAGATAAAATTTGTTTTAAACTCGTACATCGAATCCTGAAAATTATAAAATGATTTGTCGTAATAGCATCCAGCGAAGGCGTCTTTATTTATTGTGCCCGGCATTGTGAGTGTGTGAACAAACATAAACATATAAAAGAAAATAAATAACGAACACACAAACGTACACGTGGAACACTTAAAGGCGCCAGGATTTGGGCCACACATTGAATGTTGTGCTTAGGAAAATGATTGTGACGCATACAATCAAAATGACGCCAAGAAGTGAGAAACGATTGTACCAATGCTGTTTGCTCTCCTGCATCATGGTATAAATGCGCATGGCAGCGGCTTCAGTCTCGTCCATGTCGCCGTTATTGTTAACAACAAAATGCGATTTCTCGCACTTTTTCTCTAGCGGCATTTGCGAGTCAATGCGATGACGCGCCTCCGTTTCAGACAGCTCATTTCGAGCTAACAATCGCTGGAACTGCTTATCCGAGTCACTAATAATTTAATAAATTATACATGTATATATATTCTACTAATCATGGCGACACTCACCAGGACACAGTTACAATTTTGTGTATAAAATCCATAAGAATGCCCGTCTCAAAGAGCAATGGCAAGTCCAGCACGATCCAGGCATGACCGGACATGAAAAGCTTAAAGATACGCCAAAATATTGTGCGATGTATTACAGGATGTGTAATCTGGTTTAGTTTCCCACGTAATTCCTTGTTCTCGAAGATCAGACGTCCCAGTACAGCACGATTTAACTCTTTGCTGGGCAGCAGTACTTCATCGCCAAAAGCGGCGCGTATCTTATGCCAGCATGGTTGACCTGGTTCTACAACTGTGGTGTAGTCACGTATAGTTAATTTAAGTTGAGGTACGCTAATTGCGTTCAATTACAACATCTCGTATTATGTATGACTTACTCTCCCTGGCAATTTTATCCGCGTCGATAACTGGAATGCCATGACGTTCGAAAACCTTGGTCACGGTGCTTTTTCCTGTGGCAATACCACCAGTTACAGCCACAATAAACATATTAAAATTAGATCTTTGGAATGTTTTAAAGCTTTTATATTTGTTGTTGACAGTTGTGTAAATTATTACACTGTAATCGGATGAGGGATGTGAATTTATCGATAGGCTAATATTTTGCGTAAGCGTTTTACAACACTAAGTAGGCATGTTTTCAATGTTGTACAGCACACTTTTTCATTGAAAAGTCAGCCATCTTTAACTTTTGTAAATTTTCGTTCTCGTGCGTCGGTTTCATCAGTTGCCGAAATTTTCACGCGTTCGTGTCAGGAAATTGTTTACAGCGCGAGTAAAAAAACCAATTTCAACGAAACCTAAGCGATCTCTTTAGCATCTGGAAGGAAAACATAAAATCAGCAAAATGGTGGATAAAATTGAAATGAGTTTGGATGATATCATTAAGTCGACGCGCACACAGAAGAAACCACAGGGTGGTCGCGGTGGACCAAGTGGAACACGCCGGCCTGGCGGACAACAGCGATTTGGCACTGGAGGAACACGCCGTGGCGGTGGTCCTACTGGTGGCTCGCCACGCAAGCCAGCACCAGCGAGTGGTGCCGGCGGTGTGCTCAAAGGTCGCCGCGGTGGCGGTAGCGGCGCAATACAGAAGCCTCGGCTCGCAAGGGTAATTGAAACGTTACGTTTTGTCATGTAGAGAGCCAAAAAAGCAGCAAATTATCCATGCATATGCATAAAAAGGACAGCCCGAGTTGGACACTCGCGATTCTTTGCGATTTTCACGTAATCTGATAAAAACAAACACTGACAATATCAAATGTGCTAACAGCTGCAAACAAGGAATCAAAATGGCCACCATATGCAGAACAAACGGTATCTGCACCGTTACTTTTACCATGTACCATGTGGACAAGCATAGCTGCAAAATGGCGGCTGCCAGTGGGCATATACAAATTATAAAAATCAAAAATTAAACAAAAACATTGCACAGCCGCACTGTTCGGTTGTGTTAAGGATGGCGCGGCATCAGCAAAACTAGAGATACACAGAATTGCATCGAAATCAAACCCATTTATGTATTTAAAAGTTTTACAGACCTACATTTCGTTGAGGACTTAGCGCTTCTTGCGAACTCTTTTTCTTTCCCCGTTTATAACACGTTCAATATTTTTCGTTTGCACTTGTCAAAGCGACCAAAGAATGGCAGTCAATCAATGTACATTCATACATATTTAGTGTTTCTGCATTTCTTCGATGGCGTCCTCTTGATGTGGCTAGGATACAACAACTGCTGCTGCTGCTACTACTACATCTCCCACATATTTGATCAGAAACTTGTCCCCACGCGTACCGTTCGAATCAACCAACAAATCTTCTACCTAATCCCCCCTTTAGGGTGATGTAAACAGCGCTTGGAAGCATGATATGTACGATGGTCCAAAACGAAACGGCAGTGCTGGCAACAGTACGGGGCCAACTCGTTTGATAGTCGGCAATTTGGACTACGGAGTATCAAATACGGACATCAAGGAGCTATTCAATGACTTTGGTCCGATGAAGAAGGCTGCCGTGCACTATGATCGTTCAGGTCGCTCGTTGGGTAAGTCCGTCAACGCATTTATTTTCTATAACCTTTCGATAATGTTGCATTTGTATAATCTCCCGCAGGCACCGCTGATGTAATATTCGAGCGTCGTTCTGACGCCCTCAAGGCTATTAAACAATATCATGGCGTACCCTTAGATGGTCGCCCTATGACAATACAACTTGCCGTCTCAGATGTAGCCGCTCTGACGCGCCCAGTCCCTGCCGATGATGTGAAACGTCGTGTTGGCGCAGCTGCAGGGTCACAATTTAAGCGCGGTGGTATGTATAAGTAAAAATAATCTTTATGCTCCTGTATATAACAAGTAATTCGATTTTAGGTGGGCAGGTAGGTGGTGGACCGCGTCGTGGAAGTTTCAAACGTCCAGCTGGAGGAAAACCGGTTGCGGGTGCCCAACGGCGCGAGAGGAAAGCCGCTCCAACTGCCGAAGAACTAGATGCTGAATTAGATTCGTATATTAATGACATGAAGATCTAATTAGCTATAGTATGAACTTAGCCTAAAACAAAAATATTGACTCATTATTATGGTTCAACAACCAGAACAATTCAACGAACCGAACTTGTTCGAGAACAGCTTTTAGTCATAATGTCTATAACATCTTACATAATTTTTCATTTAAATTATAAATAATGCTGTTTGGGCTTGCGCATTAATTTGTTAAATGTGTCAATGTGGCGCCATTCTAGTTGATAATTCATGAATACATAACAATGTATTTATTCGTAAACATAATTTTACTTTATAAAAGAACAATGACAAGATGGTCATGATATTTGTAAAATCAGGTATAATAAATATTAGATATAATGACAAACCCAAGTTTAATACGCGAGTAATTATCATGTCGTCGAATGTATGTGCCTCTAGAGAAATGAATCGAACATTTTAATGCAGCCACACGAGTCTCCATTGACAATTTGATTAGATACTATTAAGTTTAGGAATGGAAAACTTGTGCGTGCTCTGTCAAGTCTACTGAGTATTTCTTCGGGTTGAATGTGAAACTTTTTCATGGGTTTTTTATTCCAAACTTAAGGCGCAGCCATGCATATCGTATCGGCATTTTTTTTTCTCCCATCAAATTTCCTACGCTAACAAAGGGACAATTAAATCCTACTGATCTATCAGAAGATATGATATATATTGGTTCAAACAACAATTTTATCCAATTTTAAATGTTTAGTTTATTTTTTGCAATAATACATATATGTAATTAGAAATGAATTTAGAACAAATTTTGCAGACCATAACAATTTTCAATTGGAACACTTAAGTACAAATGCAAAGTCGGGCTTCTTCCATATTTGTATGGTACGTTAGGGCGGATTCGGAAGTCATTTAAAGTTTAAAACATTGCGTATGACGTTATTAAATAGTTTGCTTAATAGAACAAAAACAAAAACATAAAATGCAAAAATCAGAGAGCAGGATAAAGAGAGGTTGATATAAAGCATAACTCTCATTTTAAGTTTTTAGGCATCTTGCGTAGTAGCCGATTTGAAATATGAATATTAATGTATAGGCTATATAAGTGTATATTAAGCGATTTATATATATAAATGTATAATGGGCTTGAGGATGCTTGGTGAGTTTGTGTTTGTGTATGTGTGTGTGTGTGTATGCATGAGTGTATAAGAGCGTCAGTAAATGCGTGACAGCCACACAGCTTAGCCATCTTTCATCTTCTACCAAAAACCTCCTGATGAGTAACCGCCTGGTGGAACACGGCCACGTGCCGGTTCATTTGTCGCCGCCTTGTTGCCATTGGTTGTTTCTTTGGGCTGGCTGACGGGCGCTGGCTTTGGCTCCTCCTTTTGGCTGGCTACCTCATCACGTAGCTTCTCCACAACCTTGTTGGCATCTGTCGAGCCTATGCATGCATTCATATTGGAAGAGTTTTGTTGATTGTATTTGGAACGCGGTGCATTAACAGCTACTTCGGGTTCCGAAAAGATGTTGGTATGTCCACCGCCTGGAGGCTTCAGTACGCGACTGGAAGGACGAGCGCTGGTACCCAAGCCAATTTTCAATTCGGTGGATGTCATATTTAATGCTTATGTTAAAGTAACTGTAAATGCATAAAGGGAAAAGATATAAGTATATACACATAAATAAGGATTACATATAAATATTGGCTCAAACTTTCTAGACACACTGTAAGCATACACTCATTTATCTGCTATGTACATAGATACAGTACATAACGAATACAGTCACGCCACTTACAAAAGCGGCCAACAATGAAGTAACAACGGTGACGGGCGTTAGCCAACTGAACCATGCGGAAAAATGCCAGAATAGAGAGAAACGTTCAACAGATTCAGACAACAGCAGAATGGAGCATTCGCACTGACAACATTTACCCCCATCCATCCACCTCACACATACGGCCCAGTCGGCTGTGTTCACTTTTCTACAGACACATACATTTATGCATACATATATTTTTACGAATATAATATGTACATACTGCACACATACTTACATACATAAGCTCTATCTCTATTTTTGAGCGCCGCGTTCTTTTGCACTTTCCCGTTAACTATAATTGCGGAACAGCCAGCCACACACTTTCTCATTGTTACTATGTTTTTTTTGTTTATTTGGAATTCATTTTGATTTCAAGCTGTTGCACATTATGCACAAAAACATGACTGAACTGTTCTTGATTGCTGAAAAGTAACACCCAAAACAAAAGCAAGTTGTAGGCCCTCAAGTTGCTCTCAATATTCTGTTTTCAAGATTTTGGCAAGTGTGTTCTTCAGCTTGTAGTCAGCTTGGTCATGAAGGAGGTCAAAGTGGGGGCAACAGGCGGTCACATTTGCGAGTGTTGTAAAACGCGGGCAATGATGCGTCATGCTTGGTGGGAGGCGGCAAACATGAGCGAGTTCCCCCGGGGATGCACAACATACATATACACACCAGCACAATTATGTTGAGGCATGTATATACAATACATGTACATATGTATGTTAGACAAAGCAAGGTGAATGACCGAATAATGCAAAAAGTCTAAAATCTCTAAATAGCAGACTTTTATCCTATTGCTAACATTATTTAAATGCAATCACAAATGCTAAATGGAGCACTGAAATTGTAATGCAAGATGTATTTTCCTTAAATATGTACATACATATTTACATGTATATAGATACGTCAATGATAATTGACAATGGTTCTTTTTACTTCGATGTATTGGTCACGTCGACCGGCACTTCTCTGCCATAGGTAACACATACAAATGCGATTACTGTTATTATTAATAGCGGCTCTATCAGTCTGTGTAAGTATTTTTTTTTTTTCAGAAATTATGAGTAATGAGCAATCTGGATGAAACTTGAAATCGAAGTTACGCCGGTTCGATTTGACTCTCTCGCTCTCTTGTTACGCTATTGTCAATGTTTACGACGTTTATTGCCCAATGTCTAGACGCAAAGCGGATGACAAAATTAATATAGGAAAATAACAATAAGATATCGTAATATTAATACATATTTTACGCATATAACAAAAAGCAAATCTAGTTTAACCAGTGCTGACCAACCGATATTACTCATTTGGCTAATGAAAATTAGCAGACAAATTTGCTGCGCTGCCTAAAAAGTGACCCGAAGAGCAGCGTCACGGCACACACGGCAAAGAAAAAAAAATGAACACACATATGCACACAGTTTGTATGTCATATATGTATGTATGAGCGCATGTATGCATGCCTTGTTTAGCCAGTGCTAAAAGTTCGGTTAAAACTGCCTGTAGCTAGTTTTTAGCCAGCGCATGCGATTATTAAGTATGATGCATGCAGTCGCTCGCCTAAAAAAGCTAAATGCAAACATGGCCACTAAGGCAGCCGAGAGGCCCTGGTGCGGTTGGCGAGTGTGGAGCGTAATCAGGAATATCGGGGTATGGGATGTGCTGTGTTATTTTTATGCTTGAGTATATGTGCAAATGGCGTTCTGGCAGATGTTCTAAATAAAATATAAAAGCAGCTGCACAACACGAATGCATCTATACATGCACAAACACAGATACATTTACATGGTTGCCCGTGTGAAGCCTTTCTTCATCATCGGTATCATCATCATCATTCGCAAGCAAATACATAGTTTGGATAGCCTCAAAATTCCATGACACAAACACACACAAGTGAATAGATGATAATTCTCTTTCGAAACATTATCGATTTTGTTTAGCGCAATATGCAACAAGTCGATGTTGAGCTGCGCTATTCATTAGCTAACAATTGTAAATTATTTACATACCGTTGGTATTTCTTGAGGAAAATTTGCTCTTTTCTGTATAATTATCAATTATTGTACTGCGAAAAACGACGCCACCTTCGGCAATGAACGGTTTATTTAAAATGGACTAAGTAGTGTGACCGTAGGGGTAAACATAAAAATTACAAATATGTTAATACATAGTTGCTTCTTAATCGTTAACAGTTTTCTGTTAACCGATTTATAAATCGATAACAATAAGGGTATACCTCCAATGATTTTAATGCAAATAATATTTTTGAATATAATCAAGAACAATGAAATATTCCGTTTCATATAACAATAACTATATTATTATATATATGAACCTATCAATAACAAGAATCATGTCAAAACAGCTCGCTTGGCATTTCAATTTCAATCAAACTTGAAAGGTTAAATGGAATGCTAGCTGTGAAATGTCGTGTAAGTGACAGCTATTGTATTAAAATCAATATCTTATTTATTCAAATGCGTATTGGCTAATATCAATATCCAAGAAATGTATAAATGCTACATCTTTATTATGTAAACGAATTGCATTCCTTTAAAAATAAAATCCACGTTAATAAGCTGTTTGAGAAATTAAAAAAATGTCTGAAATAACATTTATTAACGCAGGCTGGTCACTCTTTGGTTCCGCTGTTATATTCAACAGCTGGCCATTTATCGAAGTTAAAAAGTCCAATAAGAAACGCAATTTTTGTTTTAAATAACTACATGGAAAAGAATTAGACAATTTAATTTTCGACACATATTTGCCACCTACACCAATATTTCGTAAAGGGAAAGAACGGTCCGCGCTACGGCTAAAATAAAAAAAATGTACACCATTGCTTTCATTTAAATTTAAATTGTTTCATTTATTATAGAAAACGGATTTTTGTAGGTCATTTAAAGTTAATAATTAACTTAAATCCTTGATGGGTACAGCATCTGAAACAACAGTGAACACATGAGTGAGAAAATACAGATTTTTCCTTATTTAGCTACTTACAATGCGAATGCGGTGTCCCATTGCATGACCGGGCAAATTCCTGTTGAAGCGAGCACGCACAGATCCAGTGTTGCCGTGGATGCGAGTAACTTTGCCCCAAACAGCACGGACACGGGTCTTGCGCTCAGGATGCTGTGGCACACACTTCTTGGTCTGCGCTTTGTAGACATACACGCAGCGCTTTCCAACGTAGAACTCGCCGTGCTCCTTGCGACGTGCGCCCTCAATCTGAAACAGCCACCGAATTTATTCAATTATGTTACAAACTTATAAGTACGGGATGCTTACCTTAAGGATAGCATGGTTTTCATGCTGGTTCCTCAAACCGCGCTTGTATCCGGTGAAGACAGCCTTTGCAAACAGACGACCATGACGCTTGTATTTCTTGGCAGATACTTTCGTCTCGGTGGCGGCAGCCTTCTCTGCCTTTGGTGCCTTAGCGGCCTTCGGCGCCTTGGCGGCCTTTGGCGCTTTGGGGGCTTTAGACGCAGCGGGCTTAGCTTGTGTGTCAGCCATAGTTCACTGAAAATATAAACGACAACGAAAGTTTAATTACATCGTTACATAAAAACAATTGGAATTCACAATTAGTTGGCTTTTCATTTGTTTTGGTTGGCAGACTTGTGGGCAACTTGGTTTCTAGCCATAAACATCGGATCGGTTGCACTTTTTAAGAGCACATAAACTTTTTGCTGACACAATACAATTGTTCATCTATGCATATCCACAATAATTTATAGGTTTTATTACAATATTCGGCTATATTTTCATATTTTTTCAAGCCATAGCATAAAATCCGCGTACATACCGGAAATCTGTCGAATGGCGAAAGAGCGAGACGATGACAGGTCTGTCAGACAGAGCTGCATTGCAGCTGTTTTCTTAAATATATATCGATAGTACATTTCTGCGCAGTGTTGCTGCGCAACACAGAAAATAAATCGTATTGACTTGGGAAAGAAGTCAAAATAAAAAAAAAAAACAAAACTAAATATTTCAATAACAATGTTTCCAGAATAACAAAATTAGGAAAATTACAAAATTCACTAGCTCTTGTACCTACTTTCAACTGTATGTACTTGAAAAACGTAACAACATAACTGGTCGCCATACCGCAATTCAGTTGCATAAAAGCTGGTCCAAGATTCTTTCAGGGCGACAACGGACTTCTGCTGCACTTTCTACAAAATATTGCAATTGACAACAAATGGGTTTACTGCTGCACTTTTTCAAATGGGACAAGCGTTGGCAACTGCTGCATAAATGTGATATATTAGTGAAGCGAAACGTAAAGAAGCAGGCCGTCAGTCCAACCAAGTAAGAGTTCTCTTATTTATCATGTGGGGTCAGGGGTTTAGGAGGTGGGCCCACTGCGCACCGCCAACTAACAAAAAGCAAAAGTTGCATAATATGACTTATATATTTATTCTTCTAGACTAGCCGAGGTTGGCCGTCTGTTAGAAGCAAAGGAAGGCAAATACGATACCGGACAGCTGTTCTTGCATCGAATCTTTGGCTATCGCGGTGTTATACTCTTTCCATGGACGGCTCGCGTCTATGACCGCGATTCGGACAATCCTAAGAAGCAGATAACGGCAACAACAACGCCGACGCCGACGCAATGCGCCAAAGAGGCTTCACCACTGAGAGTTAACGCGGGGAGCAGCGAAGGCAGTGGGACAACAGCAACCTCACAGCTCGATGATGCTCCCACGTCCTGGCACGCAAGCAATAGTGCCACTGACACGCAGAGAGCCACAAATTTGGGTACTGCCAAAACGACAACTAATGCCAACACGAGCAGTGCTACCGATGCCAAAGATGTTAAGGGCAAAACGCAAACCTTTTATCAGGTGCTGATTGACACCAGGGACTGTCCGTATATTGTGAGTGAATGTTTTTGTTTCCCTATTTGCAATAAGCTAACTGATACATTATTTTAGCGGGCCCAAACTGAGGCTGTCACCTTCTTAGGTAATCAGGATTCGAATCGCAGCCTGTATGCGATTCCTGGATTGGATTATGTTGCACACGATGACATCATGCCATATTCCTCAACCGATAAGCATCCGTTGCAGCACGAACTCTTCGACAAGTTTCTAACAAATGCTCCAGATTCTGAGCCGCCATTTGTGGGTCAAGATACGCTTAAAGCATGGCAGGAAAAGAATCATCCATGGCTGGACATGAGCGATGTGCACAAGGAGACAACCGAAAATGTGCGCATCACCGTGATACCTTTCTATATGGGCTGCCGCGAGACGCCCGCATCTTCGGTTTATTGGGTGAGAAAAGAACCGAATAGAATTTCAAGCGTCAACATTTAGAATCACTATACATTCATTTTTATTGTAGTGGCGGTATTGCATACGTTTGGAAAATCTGGGCGAACTCAGTGTGCAGCTGCGTGAACGGCATTGGCGTATATTTTCATTGTCTGGTACTCTGGAGACAGTGCGCGGTCGCGGGGTTGTTGGCCAGGAGCCCATACTGAGTCCACGACTGCCAGCTTTTCAATACAGTAGCCATGTGAGTCTACAGGCGCCCAGCGGTCATATGTGGGGAACTTTTCGACTGGAGCGCGAGGATGGCTATGCCTTTGACTGCAAAATACCGCCGTTCTCGCTCGAGTCAAAGCCGGACGATGCTAGCACGCCACCGATCGGGACGCCCGCAGGCGAAGAGAGTGATTAAAGAAATATAATAGACAAGTTGTTTCGTGGTTAACGATATTCAAACTCAAATCTTTTTTTGACCATTCAGGAAGTACATGTGTTTAGAGCAAATAAAAATATAATTGACTAGCAACACCCAAGCTAACCCAGCTTCACGTTTTTGGCCTCCAGTTGCATCCGAAAGTCAAAGGGACGTCGGTTTTCGTGCATTTCGAAGACCGTTTGCAATGCATCGATAGCGGCCGTCTCTGTAGCCGTCTGCACGTTCTCTCCAAATCCCTTGCCCAGCAATTGGCGATTAGCGTAAATGCCAACTTGGATTGCAGCCAGCACAGTATTTTTGCCGCAATCGCCTAACAAGCGTGGCTCCGGCTCACCCAATTGCCGTTGTGTGCAGACTTCACTGAGTAACTGCAGTGGTTGCTCTGGTGTCCATATCTCAAGCAAATCCTTTTGATTAAGTTGTGTGCAAATAAAATCTCGCACAAATAAAAATGCGCGCTCTACGCCACTCGAATCAGCCAGCGCTCCAATTATCGCCTGCAGAGTTTGTGCCAGTGTTTCGCTGCTTGGTGGATACTCTGTGGAAAAGATGAGCTCCTTGGTTCCCAGGTGAGTGGATACATGAGCTAATGTTTCAGTGCCTAGCAGGTACGCTGCAATTGCTTGATGTCCAGCCGATGGCACTTTGGGCAGCGCATGCTGCAAATAGGCTTCCACATAGGCCTTGGCAATGTGTGCGCCTTTGGCTGCCAGTTGGCTGTTGTCGGCTGTTTGCAGATCCGCTTCCGCAATGCCCAGCTTTCGCTGGCGCTCCTGTTCCTGGTGCGCATATGTGCGCTGCGTAAATGCTGCCTGCAGCAACGGCAACTGGAATTCCTCATTCAATCGCTTACCGAAAGCAAACAGCTCAGAGCGATAGTTCCATTCAACAAATCCAGAGCGTGGCTCCGGTTTCTGTGGTCCTTGTTTCTTAACCCGGTGTGCTAGTTCACGTAACGTTGGTGAGACCCAGCGTTTAAAGTGTCGCTGTGTTTGAACTGAAAAAAATTGTACTTAATATATGAACTTTACAAATTTGTCATAATATACTTGTACTGGCATTGTTAATGGGCCTCGCAAGTGCTATTACACCGGCAACACAGCGCAATAAGGACATCTTTCTTGTTAAATTAAGAATATTCAATCAAAACGTTCGTACATATAGACAACAGTATTGCCACCGTACGTCTTTATGATTGTAAAATAATCGATAACTTTAATTATTTACACGATGTTTTTTGCGATATGGCTAATTTGATGCACCCCTGTATTGGCACAATATTACTGAGAGCTGGTCACCTTAACGACGCCATGTCGCTGTTTGCATGAAAATTTTTTTGTAACCAAAAGTTATTGAAATAAGTTATTTGATAAAACTTATCTATAATTTGCATAAAGCAGAGTTTCCTGCACAAGTGTACATACGCTTTAAAGATGGCGCTGCAGACATACGGTGATAAGCCAGTGGCATTCCAACTGGAAGAGGGTGGCGAGTACTATTATGTGGGCTCGGAGGTGGGCAATTATATGCGGCACTTCCGTGGCATCCTCTATAAAAAGTATCCGGGTATGACCCGTATTGTTCTCTCCAATGAGGAGAGGAAGCGTCTCGCCGATTCTGGCCTCAGCTCACACATATTGGCGAGTTCGGTGTCGCTACTCCGTGCTGTAGAAGTTGATGACATTATGGCCGGCAATGATGAGAAGTGGGCTCAGTCTAACTTATATCATTTTTTATCTGTATTAACATTTTAAATGCATTTCTAGATATCGCGCCGTTTCGGTAAACACTTCGGATACACCAGTACCGCGGGAGAGCAAATCAAAGAAGCAGCCACAATATGTACCAACAATGCCAAACTCTAGCCACCTTGATGCAGTGCCTCAGGCGACGCCCATCAATCGCAATCGGGTGCACACTAAAAAGGTGCGGACATTTCCCATGTGTTTTGACGACACAGACCCAACCGCGAGTCTGGAGAACGCAGCACAGAAGGAGTGCCTAGTTCCCATACGTTTGGATATGGAACTTGAGGGGCAAAAGTTGCGTGATACTTTCACATGGAACAAAAATGAGAGCATGATAACCCCTGAACAGTTCGCCGAAGTTCTGTGCGATGATCTCGATTTGAATCCCCTGCCATTCGTTCCAGCCATTGCGCAGGCTATACGCCAGCAAATCGAAGCGTTCCCCAACGATCCGCCCATACTGGAGGAGAGCTGTGACCAACGCGTTATAGTCAAACTCAACATTCACGTGGGAAACACATCGCTTGTTGACCAAGTCGAATGGGACATGTCAGAGAAAAATAATAATCCCGAAGAGTTTGCCATCAAGCTGTGCGCCGAATTGGGTCTGGGCGGTGAATTCGTTACGGCGATTGCGTATAGCATACGGGGTCAACTATCATGGCATTGTCGGACCTATGCGTTTAGCGAGGCTCCATTGTCTACAATCGATGTGCCCTTTCGCAATCCGAGCGATGCGGATGCCTGGGCACCATTCCTAGAGACGCTAACCGATGCCGAAATGGAAAAGAAAATACGTGACCAGGATCGAAACACTCGACGCATGCGACGTTTGGCCAATACAACAACGGGCTGGTAGTCGAAACGGATTGTTCCTGTCACCCACCCCATTATTTATCAATGTACACGGCTAAGAGTTGGAAAAAAGTCACTAGATTTGCTAACTAAGCTTTAATATTTCAGTCCATAAATACTTTTAGTCGCACATCCAATAATATCTCAATCAATTGAGTTGACAATTTTCCAGCTCTAATAATAGTGATTATAAACAAGTAAAATATTATCCGCGCTGTAGAATACTTACAATGTTTTAAGTCGCCAGCATTTAATGTATTTAGTTATCTTATAATTATTTTCGAAAAATTTATAATCACTATTAAGGATTCGTGTAAATTGTTGCATGGTACAAACTGCGTTCAGCATTGTCCAGTTTTGGTCGGCAATATATATACATATAATAAATACATGTCTGTCTATTTCAAAGCCAAAGGTGCATTTTGTTTATATCTTATATCTTATACTGTGCCATTATTGTATACAATTAACTTTCTACTGAATCTGGTTTGTCCTGATCTTGATCACCATCATAAAACTCATTCTTTGCTTCAACCAGTTTATCCTCATCCGTCTGTGACATGCGCACATCTGGGTCCGTTTCCTCTTTCATACGTAGCTCCTCTATATCAACGTCCGGCGGCGTTTGCACCATTTGCACACTTGGTGAGTGCTGGCACATTTTAAGATTTTCATACACATGCTTCACGATCAGCTCCAAATACTGTTTTGAGTTAGCATTGTCCTGCCGTGAGTTGACCTCTGGATGTAGTGTGAAGTCTGGCGCAAAGAAATCATAATACTCCGTTACGGGCAAGTCGTTAGCAATTTCCTGGTCGACTAGAAGCGAAGTTTCATGTGTCCAGCAGCGAGCAACGTTGCGCAAAGTGTATCCGCCACCGCCCACTACCAATGTGGGCACATTTAAACCCCTGACAAATTTAACGCACTCGCCATGACCGCGAGTACTGAGCGAGAAGCAGCCTAGCCGATCTCCAGCCAATGAGTCTGCGCCACATTGCAGCACAATTGCTGTAGGCCGATAAAAGTCCATAATCGCTGAAATGATCGGCTTGAACACTTGAAAGTAGCTCTGGTCGTCAATACCCTCCTTGAGAGGCACATTAACGCTATAATAGCGGCCAGACTCGGCACCAATCTCATACATATCGCCAGTGCCCGGAAAGAAGTAGTTCCCATATTTGTGAAACGAAGCTGTCATCACGCGATCCGTTAAATAGAATGCTTCCTGCACTCCATCTCCATGGTGCACATCGATGTCTATATACAGAACACGCGGATGATACTTTAGCAGCTCCAGTATCCCAATTACAATATCGTTGACATAGCAAAAGCCGGAGGCCTCAAATTTTTTGGCATGATGCAGACCGCCAGACCAATTAATACATATGTCACTGTGATGGTGATTCAGCTTTTGTGCGCCCTCCAGTGAAGCGCCCGTGTACATGGCACAAAAGTCAAAAAGCCCATCGAAGACGGGACAGTCCTCGCCCACGCTAAAGTGAGCCAAATACTTGGTATAAGCGACGGCTGCAATTAGGATACAAAAATAAAATGAGAGTAGAGTTGTAAGTGCATGATGGGAGGTCGTTACTTACAATTGCATTGTATATTCTGTGGAGTCACCTGCTGCAGGTAGGCGATGTATTCATCACTGTGAAACCGCAGCATATCCTGTGCACTTGCTCTGTAATGTGGGAAAAAGGCATTTAATTTCGTCACGTATGCAATAACAATTGCTTACTTGTACGGCCTGTAAATTTTCATCTTCTTGTCCAAGCCATAGTTCATAACCAGGCTGTGAGTGACGGCTAAGCGCTGCGGCTTCATCGGATGCCCTGCACCATAGTGAAAATTGCCCACATTGGCGTTGTAGAAGTACGAGACACGTCTGTCAGTCATCTTTATGTCGACTATAAGCTAATCGCTGTCCAATACCACTCCAATTTGGGCAAAATATTATTCTTTGCATAAAGCACAATCAGCAGCACAGCTACAATAAACAAAAGTCGCCGCGTTGTGGTCAGCTCGTTCAAGCCCAGTAACATGCCGTTTGCCGCCTAAGCCCTAAATGTATTGCGTTTTCGTTTAAGTGCAAGAGCTTCTTCGGCTCAAGTAAAATTGCATTATCACAAATGTTTTCTAATTTATGTCAGAGTCTTCAATCATATTATTAAAACTTCACTTATGCTTATGTAAATATAACCAACTAACAATTTGCTGTAAGCGCTGGGCTTTTAATTCCACTTAAAATATTTGTTAAACCACTTTATTTATTTTTTTGATGTTTCTTTTTGACGCGTGTTTTTTCGTGTTGTCTTTTGCTTACTCACTTAACAGTGTACTAAAATGTTATTAACAGAGTGCATCAATGTCTGAAAATCTGCCATGACTTATATCTGTTCACTAAATTAAAAAAATATTGGCTAAAATATTCAGTGACAAATAGTTTACAATAATTGTGTTAAAAATAATAATTGTTGTGATAAAAATAATAGTTAGAAACTTAGCACATCCAAACGGCATCATAACAGCGATTCTTACTTTAGAGCCATTTCGATAACAATAGTGATAGTGATAGTGACTTATCGATATCGATTATAAGCAGGGCTTAGGCAGCAAGTGGTGCACAACCGGTAAGATTTTTAACAAATAATTCAAAGAAAATATCTAAATACATACACTGTTTAATTGGAAATATATAATAAATAGATAATTGGCGCTATGCCGTTTTCCCTTATTTAAAAGACTAATGACTAACATTGTTAGGAAGAATATTATAAATTATAGATTTAGCTCCTTTGGTAAGAACGATTCGAATGCGATTTAAAATATTCTATTGGGAGCCATTTTCAAAAGAACAGCTGATTTAAACGCTTCATTGTGAATGGCGCACTTTGTTATCAAGCGTTTTGATAAGCTTTGATGCGTCGCGTCGAATTTGCGTGTGCAGAAATCAACAATAAATGTCATGGCATAGCGGAATGCAAAAACTGTGTCAAACCGTTGCCAAGGAAGCCCGGAAGAGGCAGAGTGCTCCAGCAGTGATAAAAGCAAATCTAATTTGCTTACATTACGAAACCGCAAATTGATTTTGCCAGCTTTGGCAGCAGCCGTGTCCATATTATTGTGCGTGCGTTCTAGTGTCAAATGGTCATACTTTAAAACCGAAGCTCTGTGACCGTTGCCCCCAGTTTGTCCAAGATGTTAACCCTCTATTACGTGAGCGCCACTTTGTTGCAGTCCTGGCGAATTCAAAGGGCCTGCAATAAAATTGCCGAGCAGTTAGCACAGTCGTCGAGCGTTGCCTTCTATGCAATCCCACCTGGCAACGACGACGGCTTCGGTGAGTAGTGTGGCACACCGAATTGTGCACACTCTACTTCCATATTAATTATTTTTGGTGTTTGTTGTCGTGTGCGAGCAGATGCTACAATTGCCAGCTCGGAGCTGTGCGGTAATCGCAATGCGGCCAAGGTCACGGATATATTGTGGTTGCATGGCAATCAGCACGGTTGCTGCCTGCGTCCATTGCAAACGGTGCAAATAACGCCATGGATTAGTTTTCCTCCTGCGCCCAGTTGGCTGCCGTTCGCCTATGCAGCGGACACCCTTACACCCACTGCGACTCCAACGGAAATGGAACCGCAGCCCAGAGTAACTCTCTCACCGGATAAGAGCCAACATTTGCAACTATTGCTCGAGGCGCAAGTTGAGCTGCAACGGGAAGCGGGCGCCCAACACAGCGTACCGGTGCGGGTAAGTCATATGCCATTCGATATCCGACATCTCCGACTCTAAAACTTGATTAGAGTCCCTAGCCAAACCGATCAAATAAAGTGCCCCTTTTTGTCATTTTGTGTGCAAATCATTCGTTGGGCTTTAAGCTAGACTGTTGAAACCTTTCCTAACTAATCAGTCGGATCGGACCAGGGGAAACTATTCTAACTAGACTCAACGATTTTGAGCTTCAATATCCTACTAACATATTGGCCAAATCTTATTAACATCGAAGTGTCAAATAATATAGTTTGAGTTTATTTACAAATGTCCCGAACAAATGTTTAGAGGACCAAAAATTTCTTGTTGTTGTTAATATCCCTTTATAAGAAATGTGATGGAAAATGGATCTAAAAATTATAGTTGAAACTGAAAAATAGTTATCTACATTTAGTTCAAACACTTTAGTTTTTTGCCAGCTTTAATTTTGTCAAGCGAATTAAAGCACTTTTTTGCGTGTGTTTGGTCAATAAAAAAAAATATTGCGTCATATCTAAGCTATTTTCGCACAAAGTATATATGTATAATGCAGATTTTGTTTACTCGTCTCTTTTTATGCTGTCTCCGTATCAATCACCGCCGGCGTCGTCGTCGTCAGCTGGAATGCTATGGTAAGCTAATTGCATGGAAAATAGACTCCCACCTGGCAGTACTCATCGAAACGGATGTTGAGCATTTCACAAAACTATTGATAATGACATTTTTACAAAATAATTTATTCATTAATGATCAGCTGCCACTGATGAGGATTGAGTGTAAGCCCATTAGCTGATTGCAATTCGAATTGATCTACACATAATCTAATAATATCTACCGTATACATTTGCAGCTGTGCAGCGAGAGGGTCAACCGCAGCCGTTTGAACTGCTGGCCAATCATCTGAAGAGGCAATCGCGCAATGCGGCTGAGATTAGCGCGGAGGGCTGGCAGAAGCATTTGGAGGATCTACGCGCACTAAGCGTACTGGCACGCCAGGCTACCGAATTCGAGCAGCAAAAGAATCGCAACGAATTTAAGGCAAGCATTCCTAAGCAGGACTTGTTGCTTCAGCGACAGGCGGAGCAGTCGCCTGCAGCAGCACAAAGCATTATTAAGGCTGTAGCTGTGGTGGAACCCACCACCAAGACGCCTTCTCCGGCCAAACCCACTCAAGTGAAGAAACCGGCTCCACCTGAAGATATTGGAAGAACTACTACGGCCATCAAATCGCCCACGCAGTTGAGTCAGCCTTCTCCAGCTGAAAGTGTTTTGAGCAATCCCAAGGAAGAGGAAAAAACGATTATCGCCAAGCCAACAGCAGTCCAGGACACTTCTACCATGGCAGCGGCAAGCACATCAACGCCCAGCAAAAGCTTTGTGTCCGTCAAGCCCAATTCGCCACCGCCGAAAGCCTCATCCTCCAACCGACCGCGTCCCGTTTTGCGCCGCAATAAGGATAGCCTGGGCGAAAGTAAGCCACTGAATGTGCTCGTCTATTCGGACAGCGCCAGTGCACGTGATTCGGCAATGGCAACTCTTCGCCAGCTTCTAGAGCCTAACGTGTATACCATTTATGCACTAACCCCGCAACAGGCGGGACAAAAGCATTGGCTCGAGCAGACGGCGCTCCTGGTGGTATGCGGCTCTGTGGCGCCGGCTATTGGCCAGATATTGGTCGACTACTTTCTGCATGGCGGCAAGGTCTTGAGTCTCTGTTCGGATATTTTACACTTCATATTGCCTAACTATCGCACGGCCGAGGTAAGTCGCATCGTGTGTCACAAAGCAAGCGAAATCCAGGTCTTAAACCCATTCTTATTACAGGTTCGGGAGAACGAGTTGGTTCAGTTCTCATATGACAAGTGGCAGCGGGTGAAGATGATGCATCACATTTTCTGCTACCAACCGTCTCCGGTTAAGAAAAACTTTTCCACCGACAGCGAGGAGTCAACCAGCCAAACGCATTCACGTAAACCGTAAGTCATCTTCTGTGTGATTTAACTACACTTAAACATACCACACAAGATATACATTATTATTAAAAATTAGATTTCGATTTAATTCCACAAACTGAAGTGGACTTATTTCGAAATAAAACTCATTATGAACACGCCTTTTAGTTACACGGAGTGTTGCCCATGACAAAGCTGCCATCACATCTCCATATGTATATATAGAATAGATAGCTTGTTCTTGTATTACAATGCATGTTATGTTGGCTTAGGCGACTACCATTTGGTCTTTCCCAGCCATCGAAAAGCTGCATACTTGCAGGCGCACGCTAGAATCTATCAAGTGCAATAAAATCTATTTTTGGAACTAACTAACTGTAAATACGCCAATCTTAATATTGTACTTTCGAATACCTTAACCAAGATATATAACAAGTTTTTACTAATTCCAATCTCTTTTGTGTTTCTTGAACCTTTCATGCTCAAATTGGCGCTATTTCTGTACCTTTTTTATAATCGAATATATTATCTTAAAATCTCATCTTCATATGTGTTTTCTTGTGTGTCGTTTTTTACAATCTATTCTTAATTTGTACAAATTCTAAATTGGTGTATTGCACTTCCCTTTTTAAATATACTATTAACTCCATTAAAATGTACTCTTTTTTTTATGAATCGCGCAACGAATTTGATAATCGTTCTATGATTTTTGTTCTGCTTGATTTTGAGTTCTCTTTAATTTTTTCCTCGTGTGCTATCGTTCTTTTTCTTGCGTGTGATCTCTCTCTCTCTCTCTGACTTTCTCTTTTCTGCTTTGTGTGTGTGCGTATGTGCTATATGTGTGCCCAAAACTATTATCCTATCCACCATTTCCCAAAACTGAAACGATAATACTCACAACAACAACATGATAAAATACAAACCAAAAACCAAATCAAAATACGAAACGAACGCCGCTTAGAGCTCTAGTATGTCCAAGGTCCATGGATTTGAAGGACACGACCGGCCAGACACACCAGCTGGACGTTAAAGTACTGGGCACTGAGGAGACCTGGAACACGCCCAGTATATTGCTGGCTAACAGTTTGCTAAGCGGCGGAAAAGCCGTCTTCTCTCAGGTATATTACGAATATTACGAATAACTATAATCTACCGATGGTATACAAATAATTTTTGTTCCAGGTTCACCTGGAGACAAATCCCAGTGAGTTTGAGTTTGATGAAACTAAGTTCGCAATCCTAAAACAAAGCGAACGCACACGCATTGAGATCTTTACGGATCTCTTGCACAAGTACCTGGATATCGAGGTGCAAGTCGGTGAGTCACAAGTTCCTCTCCCTGCCGGAATTGTCTTCAAGCAGGCCTACTTCTTGGGCCGTCATGAGGTGAGTTGCTATCTGCTATGCGCCTTGCCTTGTCCTAATCGTTTTGCTCGTTGTAGTCGAAATTTGAGCTACTGGAGAAGCTGCGACCACGTTGTAGCGGTAATGACGATGTCATCGTAACGCCCAAGCTGACTATTAAGTTCTGTGGCAAGGATGATAAGGCGCCGGTGGCGAACACAAATGTGTTGCCCATTGTGATACATGCTTGT